CTACTACTACTACTACTACTACTACTACTACTACTACTATACTGCTACTACTATTACTACTACTACTACTAATACTAATAATAAAATCCATCGATATAAAAAGACAGAGTGAAAATAACGCTTAATTAAAGCAACATTAACGAGCAGAATGTGGATGAGGATGCAGTGAATCTGCATGTACGCACGTGTAGGGGCTGGCGACCGCCTCTCGTCAGAATGTCGCCGAGCGTGTGGAAGTCGTATCGCCGCGAGAGGGCGCGTGAGTCGGGGTTGATGAGACGCAGGAAGGTGATGTTGGCGCCGCTTCGCTGGATGCTCTTATCTAGTTTCACCGTCGTCATGTCCTGCGCATGCGCACGGGTAAACGAAAGGATTAACACACGATCTGAGAAAGACAATATGTTGCTATAACGAGTTCACGATTTCAATTCGGAATCAATTTAGCCGACCCGATATATTAGGTAATTGTTTGAAGTTACGATTGTTTATTTTATGATTATTGTCGGACACGATGGAGTCTTGTTAGTAAAATAGTTAGCGAAAATATTTCCAGAAATAGTTGGGTTTTTATTTCCGCCCTAGGTTAAAATTTTCGATCACGTGTTTAGACAGGGAACATATAAATTAGGTGGCACGATCAAGTAAGAAAAGAAACAAGAAAAAAAGTGAGAGACACGGACTCACCAGCGATGTGAAGTAATAGTGGTAGTACTGCGTCACCATCTTCATCTTCTTAGCCTATAGATATACAAACATCGACTCTAAGGCTAAACAAGTTAACACACAGCAGGTATACAACAATATATAGTAGTATAGTATAGTAAAGTATATATAATAGTATATATAATAGTAACAACAAACATTACACAGCGGATCGCTGCCATGTTCCTACGACGTAGATTCACGCACCGAGAGGATGCCGGGATATTGAGCTCCACAAACCATTGCAACAGCGCAAGTGGGCAAATCTATATCTAGTCCCTTTAAGCTCTTGTTAGCGTCTTTACGTAATCACGGGACAAAGATACGGATAATTTTAATTGTAATTAATATTATCATGGATATAATATGCGATATTTTTAATGGGGAAAAAGATACGCGATACGTAATAAAAGATATCTATATATAGAAGTCGTGATAACGAATGGCAGCGCTGCAAAACACGAGGAAGGGATTTTATATCGGCGACCATAAGGTTCGAATTTACACGTAAAGGTCACGGACGGGCGAAGGTCAAGGGCATCGCTGCATCCGTGTATTTCCTCCGATGACGCATGCGCGTCAAGGTGCATCGATCGTCAGAAGAAACTTCAGCAGACGATATAATGTCTATAGCAGCAGCACGCGCGGGAACTCATCAACATAATTTATTCGATGTTCGAATCCGCATTCGCGTTGTTTGCCTTAAAGATTTCGCAGCAGATAAAGCGCCCGCACACACACTCGCTATATATGAAGCTGTTTGGCAACTCGATTTGTCCGGGGAAATTTTTTTGCCGCCGTGTGCGCATGCGCAGCAAACATCGTCTGCTTACGTCATTCATGATGCGAGCTATCTTCGATGCGTCACAGTCGATCACGATTTGTTGATCCCCGCGTTGCCGGATCTCCTGCGAAAAGGAAAAAAACAGATGAAGATCAAAGAGAATCATGAAGAAACCTCAGCATCACAGCACAGTGTAAAATCATTAGCAGCAGCTGGGAAATGTTAGGTTACGGCATTAGCTACGGAGCGATGCTACTGCGCTATATAGTGTCCGCGTAATAACGTTAAATTTCATTATAAAACTCGTACCTATAAAACTTGTAACTGTAAAACTTGTCATTGCAAAACTTGTCATTGTAAAACTTGTAACTGTAAAACCTATTACTGTAAAACTTATTTCTGTAAAACTTGTTACTGTAAAGCTTGTCACTGTAAAACTTGTTACTGTAAAACTTGTAAACCGTGTGAACTTGTAAACTTGTAAACTAGGAAAACTTATATTCGGGTTGTTGTTTCAGTCTATGTAATGTACGCCTTCTATCTAATTAGTGCTGCTTTATGAATAGCATGGCCACGGGGAGCTGTCCATGCGCCAAACGACGCAGAAATCTTTATAACATTGAATAACAATACGGTTATTAAATCTTTATTTTGGAATCATTGAATAAATCAATTCACGTATCGTGAGCAAAGTGACGCCGACGAATTCTACACGACGCGTCACAAGGATGTGTGACGTCATGCTATCCCCCGTGATTACACCTATACAGGGCGTCTATAGCAACGCTTTCATGTCGATCTTTTGACAAATCTTCGTGGTTATCTGAGTGAATCCATCCCAGCTACGCAGTGAGACTACGGAAATCGCTAGGATAGCGAAATAGCTTCGGTAGGACAAGGTGACGTTACTCTTTCCATGTCGTAACTGTACGAGATTCTATTTTGACCGAAATTCCGAATATTTTGCGGATTGGACCGAACCCAGATAAAAATCTCTAGCTAGCTGAGTATTCG